GCTGGTGACACAAGGCAGGGAGACTGATGTGAAGCTGGGGATGGTGGCAAAGAGGAGACACAATGGCACAGAGATTGCATTTGAAGGTACAAAAAGGCATAAAGCAAGGAGAGAAGACTGGAAATTACTCTGATAAATGTGCTGGAAGTCTAGGTAGGATGGTACAAGAAGGGGTGGGGGATTTAGTTGTAGGAGCCTGCTGAGAGATATGTGCAGGAAGCAGGTTGGAGCAAACACCACAAGAGCGGTTTTGCGTAGACATTAGGAGATGCAGGCAGCAGCACTGTGCTGGGAGTGAATGAGAAGCCACAGCAAGAACTACCAGAGAAGGGGAAAGGAGGAGAGCCTGAGCCCTGTGCAGAAACAGCAGGCAGCATTCAGCTGCTGAAAGGAAGGAGACAGACTGTGTATATACTTGGGGAAAAGTGGCCATTGCCCTTGTCTCGCTCAGCACAGCTCACAAACAGATCTCAGGCCCCTCACATACAGGATCTCATGCTGGAGTTGCTGCTGTCTGCCAAGGGTAGCCATGTTCCTTCTTCCAACTAGTGGGGAATTGGGATCTGCCTTTACAAACATTTTTTTTATATATTCCTATCTATTAAACTGAAATAAAATTTTAAAAGTCTTAAAAGGTGGCTGGCTACCCACGGTCTTTTCCAGATCTGTATTTCAGTCCCTCAGCTGTTGTAAGTTCAAGGAGCACATCCCTGGCTATCGATTTTTCTGACACCTCTGAATTAAAAGAAGGTTAAAGTCTGTCAAGAGAATGTTTAATTCATGTATTTAGCAAGCACAGTTCTTTCATCTGTCCACACAATATGCCAGGAAATATGCTAAATTGGAGCAATAGCTCAATCAGGGCTAAAATGAGAAACTGTTCAACAGCAACACTTCTGCCAAGACACCGAGAACAAGTATCAGGATCATCTCTAATTACAAATTCTGCTAGCTGAAGTAATTAAAGAGATCATTCTGGACTTGCTTCATGAAGCTACTCTGTGCTATTGACTAGTGGGAATCTCCTTATGCTGGCCCTGGATCTTAATTGGCCCTGGATGTCGGTGGTGCCATCAGGAGAACTGGACTCTGCACTGACTCAGCCACTTCTACCTGACAAAAGCATAGCTAAGGCAGAAGAAACCAACTCATATGACAGGTCATTTCTTTCAAGGGAGACTTATTCAAATGAAAGAACAACCAGGACAATTAAGACAAGCTGGCCATGAATAAACTTCAGCTGGAATTTGGAAGAAAGTTTCTTTTTTGCTGCAAGAGAAGCAGGATTTTGAGATAACCTTTCAACTAGCACAACAGAGCCAAAAAAACACAGGGAAAAACATCAGCCCAGACCCAATGTTATGCTTTTAGCTGCAGTTGAGTAATTTTATTAAATAGTCTCTGTTGCAACAGAAACAGCAGAAAATTTGTAACCCAAGAATCTCCTCTAGGCTGGTTATTTAATGCAGACCATGAAATTTGTTGCATTGAAATGCCATCCCCTCTGCAGGTTTCAGTAGGTATCAGTTGGTTTGATGGCTAATCACACTTTGCTCAGAGCAAGAATGTTCCAAAGGACATAAAATGGCCACTTAGGGTTTAAGTATTATAGTCCAGCTGGAGCAGCACTGATGCTACAGCAATTCACCTTAATGACTCAAGAGCATATTTCTCAGAAATGCTGTATAGCTCTTCTAACCAAAAAGCCTTTTTGTGGCTTAAGCTCAAATTTATGCCACTCACAGAATATATCTAAAAGAAAAAAAAAAACCCAAAAACATATCCATTGAAAGTAGGAAGAAAACAGAGGATTTGAAGCTATGAAAACCCAGAGATTAAAACATGCTGAAACAAAATTATACCAAGAGTGCCAATGATTACAGAAGTCTCATAGTAGGAAGACCATTACCTTGGGATTCAGCAGTGAAAGCCATTAAACAGACATTACCAGGTGCAGCGTGGTAGGGCAGGATGACCAGACTCTGCAGCACCAGTCAGAGGCAGTGCTTGTGGGATCACAACCATCTCAGCAAGCAACGTTCCTGCCCTTTGGAGAAGGCTCATGGCCCTGTCACTGCTCCAGGCAGGTGGTATCACCAAAGGACTCTGCAAGGGCTATTCCCAGCAGACAGCCATTAGGCAACAAATGAAAGAGGACAATATGGGTGTGTGGGCAAAGGAAGTGAAGCAGGAAATCTGGACCTCCATCCAGATACAGCTTTAATTAGAAAATCCACAATTAAATGATAGATGCTATGTATCTGAACACATTAGTGTGCTGCTCATACCATGCTCAAGAGCGATTCAGCTTTCTTAATTCTCGCACCTGGAAGGCTGACCTCTTCACACCCACATCCTTCCCGCCTCCCTTCATTAAGCATATAAAACTGTGACATTCCAAGAATCTAAGAAAAACGAAGGGAAGAGCTGTTAGCCTTAACATAAGGTTCCATGGGATGGATTTTGCAAATGAAGGATGGGCTGGTGCTTATGTGCTGCAGACTGAAGCCCCCAGTGGCAGCACCTATTGCCATATCCAGCACTTTATGTGCTTTCCTTACAGCTTTGCCCTGTGAAAAAGAAGTTGATGCACAGACTGGCAGGAAAGAAGGAAAACTGGCTGAGGCTGGTTTGGAAATGCATGCAGAAACTTTCAAATCTGATAATTACCCTTATCCTACTGGGAAGGTGTGAACTGGATGTATTTGATGAAGAGGAGTAATGGGGTAGCAGCAGCTGGAGAAGCAGAATGGGACAAACCTGAGTTGTTATCTTCAACAAACCTCACCCACTACAGTTCCATATTATTTGCCTGGCCTTGCCCCTGGGCTCCTGATCACCTTCTGCAGGTTTGTCTCCATGCCAGCACTGGTCTGCTCCTCACTCCTTCAGTCACACCTTGGTGAAACAAATCCCTCATGCCTACGTGCAGTGGTGGTCTAGTCCCTTTGGGAGTCAGAAAAACAGTCACAGCTTTTGCTTAGCATCTGGGGGAAGTCCTCTACACCCTCTGGCACTTCACAGTAATGGGTTTGCAAAATCATGCCAATACCAGAAGTGCCTCATCCAAAGAAACAAGGCAAAAAAATCAAGCTACTATATATTTTTCTTTGGGTTCCCAGCAGAATAACTCAATCTGCCAGGTTTATTTGTGGAAAGTGCTGTAATGCAGAGAGATGTTGGCTCAGCTCTTATTTTCCCCATCTTTATAGTCATTGATTGCAGTGGAATTGATCTTGATTTCCAAAGAGGTACAAAGGAAAGATAAGCACAGGTTGCTGTGTGGCATGGCTGGAGGGGATAGAACCCCTGGACCTGGAAGTGTGTGCTTTCCCTGGAGGGTGAGGTTCCTCTCCTGAACTAGAAGTACTATGTACTGTGGACAGCTAAATAGGATGGGGCAACCAAGCAGCTAGAGATTGGCACACATTTCTCAAGGTCTCTGCTTTACAACTCCTTATTTCCAAACCAGAATGTAACAATTTCTTTCTTGTCTTCTGAACACAGTTTTTCAAGGCTCCAGTTGACCTTTTCTTTAGAGTGCTAATTCCTTAAATCTGTCATTTCCTGTTTCCCAAATTTACCAGGGAATTGAATTACATGCAATGTTCACCTTTAAAGAAATCATATAGAGGACTTGCACTCAAAATGCTTACTTGTGCTGCACCATGCAGCCTGAGGAGGCTACCTCAGATGAGACACCAATCAAGGCACTTTCAGTGACAGCTTGGTTGAAGTCTAGGGGATGAATTAGGCAAGTCCTTCTGGCACCTAAAAAGCAAATCAAGCAAATAAGAGTTCAGTAAGACCTTGTAACAGCCCAGACTGGCTGCCCTGGGCGAGGAATGAGATGCAGACTGGCACAAACACCACTGTACAAACACAGTGATGACTTCCAAGCACTTTTTCTGCACTGACGCTGCCCTGGCAGAGGGAGCAGAGGCAGAGCTGGGATGCATGGAAGGATGACAGCCAGTGGCAAGGCATGCCACACCCTGTGACCTTTGCCTGCTTTCTGCTCTCAGTGTGGTCCCCAGCAGCCAAGTAGGAGAAATGGCAATACCACTGGTTTCACACAGTGCAGGCCGTGATGCAACACAAGCAAGGTGACACAGAACGTCACTTCCTCTGCAAATCAAGAAGATCCTGCCCACCCGTGCAGCAAAATCTGTCTGTGTCTACCCACCATGACGTAAGAGCTGAGCTACCACAGCTTCTCTCACTTCAGAGCACTGCTACTTGATCCTATACCAGCTCAGGATCCCACTGCAAGCATTTCAGACTTGCCTATTCCATCTGTACCTCTTTTATGCATCCTGCCTAAAGCAGATGGCACAGAACCTTGATCCAGGGTGCAGCAAAAGTCACAAATTGAGTTTTCATGGCACAAGACACTGGGCCAGTTTAAGACAGGAATGATAAGGTATTAAAAACTATTTACTAGACTGAGAATCAAGGGAAAACTGTAATTATGCAACTTGCACCTTTGGTTAGCCACTTAACTGGTAAAATGTATTAAATTACCTTCTGTGGATTGGTAAAGTGGATAGGCAAACCAGGAACTCACATTTCTTTCAGACATAAAAAGCAGTGAAGGTTTTAACCCTAGGAACAAAACTTTGTTGTGTGAAAACTTCCTGTCCCCATTATCCAAGCCACCCCAAAGGATCTGCCCTTTATTTCCAGGTAACTCAAGTATAAAAAATGGAAGACAACACCTCATCCCTTTTTTGATTTCTTTTCTTTACTACTATTTACCTGGGGAGTCCCCAGACCATCAAGTATTCTGGACACATTGCAACTCCCATGCAGCCACTGGGGTTCAAAGCCAATTAACCTCTTAGAGAATCAGGCTCTCCTATCCCAGGTGAAAATTCTGCAGTGCTTCCACCTGCAGAGGCTGCCCAAACCAAAGCACCAGGCTGTCACCAGAGCAAGCCACAGCAAGAACAACTCGTATTTTGTCATTGTTTCTTTTAGCACATACAACACAGTGCAAATTTATGTTCTGAATTGCAGTTTTTTATTAGATGAACACAGTTTAATACATAACATGTACACAACCCAGGATGCAACATGCTCCCTCCCCTCCCGAGTTACAGAACACTGATGCCGTGAAGGGGAACACCAGCTCTGCGTCTGTGACCCCGCAGGGATGTTACAGATGGCTGGGAGTGGAAGCTTTTTACACAGGTAGGTCTACACAGGACAGGATTACACACATGAGGAAGAGGTAAAGACCACGAAGAAGGGAGTAAACTGGATCTGCCCTGGCTGAAGGACTGCTCTCAAGATGTTCTCTGTTTTCCCTCCCAAATTCCTCAGTGAGCAGGAGGGTGAAGCACAGCCCATGATACAGCTGGAGTCTTGTGGAAAGCAGTGGTGTGTGGTGTCACACGTGTCACTGCCAGCCAAGGGCCCCTGTGAGAACCACTGCTCAGGGTGCCAGAGCAAGCCGTGGGCCATTCTACACTGGGTCCTCCACTCAGGCTCTCTGTGAAGGGTGAACATAAGGGGCTCCATCCTCCTCCCACTGTTCATGCCAAGGTGTAGTGAAATCCGTGAATAAGTTACTGAAAACTAATGAGATTTGGCATTTTCCTGGTGTTCATCCCACTCTTGCTCTCCTATGAAGGGCCACAAGGCAATTTCAGGGTCCTACTTCTGAACCATGCTAATTCCTGAATAGAACACCTCAAATAAATGGCCTGGTGGTGGAAAAAGACAGGGAGGGACAACCAAGTAATCCGCTGAGAGCTTGGCAGCTACTCTTCATTTCAGTGATAGCACTTGGGCTGCTAAACATTAGAATTAGACACTATTTTAAAGAAAGTGTAAACATGAATATATGGGCTTTACTCCAGGTTCACTTCCCTTTGGAAGGTTTGATTCTAGATGGTCAACAAAAAGGAAAAGAAAAGTAAAAAAACAAAGTCACCTAGGAAAAATCAAGAGTTCAGAAGACTCATCAAAAACTGTTTCAGTCTTACAAAACATGTGCCTTTTGACTCAGGCATCAAAATAAATTTACTGTATTATTAAAAATAGCAATATAGAAACTATGCCTTTCTCAATTCAAAGTTTAAGCACATCTAAGAAGACCCCACAGAAACAGTCCTCTTTCTGGCAAGGCACTATCCAGTAGTGTGTGGCACAAACAAAAACACCTCTATCAAAGCCACTGATACAGTGAATGTGCACATGCATGTCAGCCCACACAGCAACTTTAGCTAGGTACAAAGATTAAGTTTCACTCACACTGCTCTCCATTTTAAAAAGTGGGGTAGTTATATGTGTTATCTAGAAATTGGAATAATTTGGTTCTTAAGCATAACTTTATACGGCAAAATTTTAAACAGAATGAAGAATTTCCTATTTCTTTCAGTAAATGTCTCTAGATTCCCCAGACCTTTTCAGTTACCTGATAGCTACATTTCATTACTACAAAACTGATTAAAAATATTCCAGATCATCTTGTGTAACAAACTAGAAGTCTACTTGATTAATTACAAAAATAAGGCTGTCGTTCAACAGACAAAATTCACATCCAAACATATATACTTCTTTTTTAAACTAGCTATTTATAATTCAAAAGCACACATTCAAAGGGACTTACACTGCCAATCCATGCAAGCAAGCAGGATATCTTTGGAGCTAGTGTTGTCCTGCATACAACTGACTATGCCCACACACATGCTCTGAAATAAGCCAGGTTCACTTAACAACTGAAATAAGACTAACTCTCCACTAAACGAGAGCCTTCTATTCTACAATTATCAAAATTCAAAAGGAGCTTTGTGAAACTAATTTCATCCCTGGGGAAATCAGTGTGTTTTTTCCTTTCACATCAGTAAGCCTGGGATTTCATCCAGGATCACTCATGTGTATATGCTTACACACTTAGGTAAATTTTTCAAACCTGGGACTTCAGGCAGTTCTCAAAGTTTACAATGTATCAAGTACATGATAAATCCAGGATGGCTTCTCTGTAATCAACTGCAAAATTACGTATATTTATATCTCTATTCATTTACAAAGTTAAATATTTAACTTCTTTTTAGGAGTAGTTATATTGAATGTGGCGAAGTTAACAATGTACAGCTCCACCTCATGTCATATTCCCTTCCTATAGTGGAAGTTCAAGTCTTCCTAAGTTCAAGTCTTATGAAAATATGGGATTGGTTACAAGAATGTCACAGTACCTTGATAAAGACAACATAATTCTTAAAAATGTACATACATATATCAACGCCCATTCAGGATTCATCTAGAGAAGGTGTTCTGGCAAAGATTTTGACCAGCAAATACAGCCACGGACTTCAAATCTGTGTGTGCTCTTGCTCCGTCTAGCTCTTCAGCTCAGCTGAGCATCCAGGTTTGTTCAGTCTGGTAAGAAAGCTAAGAGGCAACTCAATGGTAGCTTACAACTATCTTGAGGTACATTAAAAAAAGAATGGTGCCAATCTCTTCTTGTGAGTGTCAAAAAAACTCAGCAAAGGCAGAAGCCTCAAATTAAAGTCTAGGAGTCAAAGCTGGACTTTAAAAAATAAAATTTTCACTGAGAAAGCACTGCAGCAATGTCACAGCTTACCTAGATAGTGATGAGATCTTAATCTCTGGATATTCTTAATGCTCTGCTAGACAAACCCATATCTATTTCAAGCTAGTGTAGTTCTTTGGCCTGATTTTGACAGTGCTGCACCAGATGACCTTCAGCTGTCCCTTCCAACTGACATGTCTCGTATGCCATGATCACTGATGTCAACAGAACATGTGATTTGTTTCACAGTGTTGCTTTTGTTGTGATAGTGTTGCTTTCTAACACTTTTTTACAAGTCTGGCTTCCTTCAAACGACACCATCTGAGTGATGTTGTGATTGCAAAGTAGCTTTTCTATGTAGTGGTTGTCTTCCATTTACCCAAAGACATAAGGACATTCACTGTGATGGCACTGCCTTGCCAGTATGAAATCACTTTAGTAAAAGTTACATTACAGCATAGCTGTTATTTATGTATCCAGATTTGATTCAAAATGCATGATGCAATTTTACTTCTGTCTAGAATGCATTTTGTAATGATTATTGGCAAATCATGGGCCTAAATTCTGCTGTGTGCATCAGTACAGTCCCACTGGAATAATCTTCACTTCCTTTATTTTTTTCCTCAGCTGAAAACCTCTCTGACTGCATTTGGCATAGCACACACTCAGCTTTCTCACTGTCTTCGAGGCACCTCCACATCATCTCATCTGGGGATATAACCAGGACAACAGCTAAGCTAGTTAGGCATGCTCTTGGACCATGGTGGAGTGTTTAACCATCAAGGGACTGAAACCTCGCTCTCAAAGTATCCCCTGGCTCATGTGGCTTGTGATGGAGCTGTGTGTTATTGAAGGTAAACTGAAGTTTTGGCAAAATTTAATTTTAAGACAGTCCAACTGTAGAGCTCCAACCTTGGGTGTTAAGACTTTCTCATTTAAGAGATAACTTTATATTATCATTAGCTATGAGACCCCTTTAGCTCTTCTGGACTCCCCAGCATTTCCATGGAGCGTTTTACTGAACATTTCACCTGTATTTGGAAACATGTCAAAGTATTTCACTTTGGCACCTCCTTCATGATAGCAACTTGTTTTAAATAGTCAGTTGTGATGTGCATCATTAGACAAGTCTTCATTAACAAGATTAGCAGCCCATGTCTCTTAAAATAACCATGATCTAGAATAAACATCACAATAAATAAATGTAGAGCAAAAATATGGCAGTTATTGGCTTAGACTGAGAGTTCAAGATTGATGTTTTTTTCCTTCTGGATCATAGCCAGCATAAACATCATAATAACCACCAGCACTTTAACTATCATGATGAACTAATTTGAACTACAGTAGTGGGAAGAATTAAAAAATGTAAGGAATATGACTATATAAGAATACCCATGAATGATACAAGCCCTACACTTTCACTCCTTATTCTCAAACATACGTGCCTGTTAGAATATCACGGCCAGTTGTAAAAGCAATCAAAAGACAAAAATGAAACATCAACGGTGAGCATTTTTACAACAGAAGATGAGTAGCCCAGCCTTAATCCTATTTCATATGCATGTTATTAGCTCCACATTATTGGAGAGCACCATCTCATGGCAAGCAGACTACTACTAATGACACATGTTTACTCTATCACAGTGATCCATTAGGGAAGCTGTTATGTGCTGAAGAATAGAGTCACTCATTCAGGAATGTGCTTGTTGGTACTTCACACAGGCTTTCTAGGGTTCTGATTCCTGTTGAAAAGAGAAAAAAATAAAGAGCATTATTGTTATTAACATAATATGAATACATTGTCATCTCCCGTACCTGTGACCTTTGCATACAAGGTGACCCTAACCCCAGACCACCCCTATAGGAGCTGAGGATGCATCTCTCTAAAGTACCACCAGACTGAAGCAGGAAGTTAACAGAGAGACTGCTCCAGGCCTCCAACACTATATTTTCTAGGAACAGAGCTGCATAGAAGCTGCTATTTCAGATTGTATCAGAACATCATCTTTTTCCTAGCACAAGTTCTCCAAACTACAAAGTGAGACAGGCTGCCAAAATAAGCTGCTTCTGTGGCTCTCTGCTGAGGTTTCTTCCTACTGCTGTCCCTTATGGGGTCCAGAAATAAATGAATTCCTGGCAGAAGAAGAGCTCTACAGATACCCAAGATTCACCCAGGCCTGAAACAGTACTAGTACCAAATACATCTGTATCTACAGTATCCAAGGAAAGAAAAATCCTCCCCTCTGTGTCTGCTACTGCCAAAAGGTGCACCACACAGTCTGTTGGAACAAGTGTCCAGACTTCCATATGGCAATAAAATTTCCTCTGTTATACTGCCCTCAACAGAAAGATGCTACCTGGCTTTGTGTTTTGACCTCTAGATATGTGTTTGCTAAAACTGAATTCAAAAAAGTTAATATTTAAGTTCTGATTATTCCAGCATTTCAGCATTAAATTAATTAATGTCTAATGAATAAATGCTGAGCCATTATGCCAGGCTTCAGAAATTCCAGTGATTAAGTTCTGTCTCCTGTTATAATTAAGCTATTTGCTTACCATTTAGATTAATAATGTAAAGGAGAATGTCATCTTTAAACTTAATTTATCTGCTATCCAAAATTACTCCCATGTATATGCTTGTTTTCATTTAAAATGCTTTACTCTTCTTTACAACCATCTCAATTACTTCATTAGCACTAGGGTGATATGAAAAAGGTATGGATCACAGCAGGGATGCATCCAAACACAGAGTTCCATCCCACACAGGGATCAAAGAAAATTCAGTCTCAACATCTCAAGAATTACATTAAAAGTCTCCAATACTACACTGACCTTTGATGCCAAAGTAGGTTTCAGTCCAAGAAAAGAGAATACAGTGTTGCTCTCCTTTGATTCAAAAAAGCCATCATAATCCTAGAGAAATAAAAAAAAGAAAAGATGAGTCAACATTTGTATTCCTATTTTCCTGATTGATATTACCATACCTTGAATTAGACTAAAGTGTGACATGTAATAATGTTCAGGAAAATATTGATACTTACCCCTATTCTTCTACCCCAACCTAAAACCTAAAGTGTAATGATACCACAAACTACATGGGTGAAAAAAAATACATACATTCTCTAACTTCAACATCTCTCACTACTTTGACAGGAAAGTATAAGCATGTACCTGAATCAAAAGAAACTCTGTTGTGGGTATATTTTAAAGGTATTTAAGTGCAGAATTTCTCCTAAAACCGTTATGGTGCTCTAGATTAAGATGCTTTACTCGCATTTCAGCAGTGATATACTGCTATATCGGTGTGAACTGGGATACTGTGCGGTTGCATAAATATTTAAACAGCCTCAGCCTCCCCAAAACCACAGTCATAGCTGCACAAGGGCAGTTTCTCAGCCTGACCCTCTATACTAAAAGCACCTTTGAAAGACACCAAAAGGCCAGCAGGAACGTATAAGGGTCCTCAGGCCTCAGATATATTAGCTGACATATGTAGAAAGAGTAAACCTTCTTAAGATGACTTTTTGATGTTTTCTTCATAAAATATAGCCTATGCTAACTTAGGAATTATTAAAAATTTACAATTAATTGCCAGAACATAAATCCAAGTAAAACAGGCAAATCAACTAAGCCATGGTGTAAACTGAAAGATTACTGAAAGGATTCCAAACAGTGCCATGGATTAAAAAGGAACAATGTAATCACTGAATACCTAGAGGAGTAATAAGTAATACTGAAGCTCTGCAGAAGGATGTTTTATTAAGTCCTTGACCTCTAAGAATGAGACTTCAAAAGCTGCATGGACATACTAAACCTTAAAAAGGTCTGTTCTGACTCTTCTAAAGCTGATGAAAACCCATGGGGGACACAAGCTAGATAAGCAACACATGAGAAGACAGCCTGTGATCTACCTGAGAAATAACCTTCATTTCCTCCACGGGACTCATGGATGAGTCACACTCTCTGGAGCTGAAGGTAGGGCAGCGGTGGATGAGTACAGCCCACAGTGAGAAGGAGCCTTTCTTTAACATCAGGGCAGGTCTGAATTGCCTGAAGCTGCCCATTACAGCCCTGTAAACTACCAGCAGCCAACCTGCAGGCAGGCAGCTGTTGTGGCAGACACCTTTTTGAGTCCCTGCCAGGAATACTCTCCCTCGTAAGCATCACAGGCAGTCTTCACTAACCCCAGACATTTCTTTGTCTCAACAGTTTGTTTGAGGAAGGTTTTGTTTCTGCTCGGGTAAGTCATCATCTCTCAGCACCATTTTCAAATGCTGGTATTCTCCTGAAGATTCTTAATCCCAGCACTTCAATTAGCTCTAGAAGTATTACTCCTTTAAGACCATGGTTTTTTTCACTCTTTGTTAAACTGGTAAGAAAAACAGAGAAGATAAGGACTCATAAACTGAAAATAATGTCATAAGAAAAATGGCTGCACTTGTGGCTCTCACAGTGACACTCAGCTCATCCACCAACATCTGTTTAACCTAATGTCTTTAAAGTAATTTAATACTCAATAATAAAAAGCTGTCTTCAAGTACTAGTTATCATTTTACTTTCAGAATTATCAAGTATTATGTTTTTTCCATATTTTTACTCATTAACAAACCTGGATTCACTTACTGAAAAAATTGTGAAGGTTAAACGGTGAGCTAAGTCTATATTTGAAAGACCACAAAACCCAGTGGATTGATTCATTTTAAAAGGACCAGAATATTTAAGAACCACAAGAAATTATCCACCAGAAGAAATCTCCCTGATGTTCTGAAATAGCTTTACTGCAAAACTTATTTAAATCCTATTGACACTTACTTTCATGGGCAGTGGGGGAGAAGAACCATCATGCTTTTAGATAAAGTAGAAATAAATTTTAAATAGGAGAATTTTCCTAGTGATATCTTCAATTAAAATCTATGATTTCAAAATATTCAAATGTGAAACAAAAAATGTTACAAAAATGCATAATAGTCCTATAAAAATTTTAAGAAATCACTTTAACACAGCAGTTTCTTAAGAGATTATTGAGAAGTATGATCTCAATGGCTCAATGGTTGTGTCATGAGTGGCAGGAGTTCAAAGTGGACATCCCTGGCTTTTCCTGTAACACTGATGAGATAAAGGATGCTCCAAAAACACCCTGCCTTTGATCTTACCATTAGAAGGAGAGGAAGTCTGTGCATATTTGGGCCACATGTAAAGACACTAAATCCATGGGTGAAGACATAAAAATTCTTATCTCAATAAAGGACATCACACTGCTACCAGCAGTAGAAGCAGTGGCTGAAGAAGGAAAATAGCAGAAGCTCAGTGAAAATGAGAATTTCATACCCAGGCAGGAGCTTAACTCACTGGTGACCCAATGGATTCCATTTGGGAAAACTCTGTGGGCATTCTGCCTTCCACGGAGGAAGGACACCGCCATTCACTGGTTTTGGCAAGGCAGTGGTTCCCTCTTTCTGCACCATGCTTCACCACCAGCACCGAGTTACTACAACTCTCTTGTCACTGTCCCAAGCAGCTCTACCCAAGGAGTGCTGTGGCTTTGCTGGGATCGGTGGAGCAGTGCTGTCCTGCCCCTGTGCAAGGAAGTGGCTCCCACTGTCAATGGGAGGCACTCAGACAGCAGCAGTTAACTTAAAAATATACAACAAACTGCTACCCACTGCCCCCCTTCAAAAGGCAACTATGCATACAAATATAATTTTTACTGTAGCATTTTAAAATACAAAACTTGGTGCTTTCCAGAGCTGCTAATCACACTTCATTAATGTATAGAATTCTGGCAACATCAGTAGCTGATTAAAACTACTAAAAACCGAGTACTAAAACTAGTAGGACATGGAGACAGTATGCATGAATCATCAGCAATGCAGAGACGCTCAATCCCTCTGGAGAAGTTGAAATGCCAAAAATACAGATAATAAATCCCATGACTGAGGGTATGAAATGTTACTGAGAAAGATGCCAGTTAGGAGGAAAAATTATATCTCAGGATGGTTTAAAGGGACAAAGAAGGGATAGAAGGATAAAGAAGGTAACTAAAAAGCTATTTCAAGGCAGAAAGGGCTTTTCAACAGGATAACAGGATGACTGCTTTAGGCATGGTTCCTCACCCTTAAAGTTGGTGGCAGGTCCATCATCCACAAGATCACCTGAGCAGGATACAGCCTCTCTGTTTTAACACCACAAGAGTAACAGCATTCGATGCACCCAGTGAGCTGCCAGGGAGTGGATTAGCTGACCTAATAAGCTCTTGCTTTGTTGAAAATAAACTGAAGCTACTGTAGGTGAACTGCTAGCTTGTAACTCATTTATAAACAAGCAAAATCTTGTTGGCCTTGCCTTAAAGTTTTGCTTTGCTCTCCCAGCTCCTGCTGAGTGACTCTAAACTGGGACAGAGAGACAAACTGTGGCTGCAAAGGTCTTCAGGACCAATTTTACCCCAGAGGGTAATGGGAGGAAGGCTAGGAAGGCTGTGAAGCTCACTGTGGTGGCAGAATTCTTGGTACCAGATGTGTTAGTGGACACATGAAATACACTTCCAGAGCATACTGAAGATGCTAAAGGTTTCCACCAAAAGGTTCAAGTTAATGAAAGAAAAATATAGTAAGAATTACTAAATATGTTGAAGTGACATTTATTTCAGAAAAATAACTAGAGACAAGGAAAATACTCAACCATTTTATATCTTGACTTGTTTGTGGTCTTTTCTAGGTTTATGGCCACTGTTGGGACAAAACTGGGCTTGATGGACCTTCAGTCTCACAAATATAAGGCCATTTACACTAATCTTAAGGCGTATCATACACTAGGTTTTAAAATGATCATAGAATCAGAGAATGACTTGGCTAGAAGGGACCTCAAAGATCATCTAGTTCCAACCCCCAATACTCAGCAAGGCCATGTGATGTTGTCCATTAAGTATGATTGTAAAGGGGGAAAAAAGAAACCAAAACACAAAACAACCCAAGCCTCCAAGCCTCACACTTCCACAGCTTTGTTTTTAAAAATTGAATCTTTGCAGCTTATCCTGGAAATAAAAAGTGATATAGCTGTTTTGCACCTCTTTAAAACCAGATTAATCAAAGACAGGAGAACTTTGTTACTGTATACATTATGCAGTAATCCCAAAGACAATCTACTGCCCAAATGCTACAGAATACTAACATCAGCTTAGTCTTTGAGACACTAGACAAGCATTCAGGAAATCTGACAGAAACGTGTTAGGTTCTTCTCACCTTCATGTGGGTTTTATGCCTATTTACTCCACTAGGACAACCATTGGTCCTTGGGAATTCTCACCTCTAGGAATCCCACTTCCAGGGTAGGTTCTTCCCTCAACAGCAATGGCCAAGCTCACAAAGCTCAAGTTGGATACAGCATTAGCTATATCCCAGCTGTGATGATCACTAGACCTTTAGTGTGATGTATTCCTGGTGCTGGGAAACCAGATCACTGCAGTGATGTAATTACCGACACTGCCATCATTAATTTGGCTCAGGATTTTGTTAAGCAGGTAAATTCAGGATTGTTTAAATAAACACTGTCACTGCTGAGAGAAACTATTTGCTGCACACCAAAGTTGCAATTGGCAATACTGCAGATCAGCATAAATAATTATTTGGGTTTCAAGGAACATAGAAGAAACATGAAGGCGTTGGATCAAAGTAAAACATAAACACAAAGTAGATTTACAGTTAACAATTTTACCTTCACTAATGCACTGAAAGGATGAGAACACTACATCTAATGAGCTTTCAAAGACAGCAACTGTGAATAAAATTCTTTACAGTAAGTTTCTTTAAACAAGCAAGTTTGTTCTGTTGCCGTTTGCTTTTAGTTGGCAACAAGAGTGAGCTTGTTAAACATCTCAGACAAATCTTTATTGTTTACCACACCAAGAAGCAGAAAAA